TTGTAGAATTCACAAAAAGCCTTCTCTATTTCTGCGCTATCTCTAGTAACGGCCCCGTGATATTCGATTTCGACAGTCTCGTTGCGCCTAGCGTACCTTTTCTCAGCCCCGAGAGCTCTTTTTGTCGGTGCTTCCCCACAGAACGACTTTCCTGCCCGCGCTCTAACCAGTGCTCCGTGGTACCGCTCCTTATCGAGAACTTCCAACTTGGATTTCAAAGTGCTTATGTCATCTTTATAAACACCAGGCGAACGACTCTCTTCGCCGATAAGTAACTCAAGATTACTGCGCAGAAGCGATTCTTTTTTTCTTTCTCTATACTTTATCGCGCTCGCTCTTTCCATTGCTTTCATTTTAATTTCTTGCTTAAAGTGTTCCCATTTTAAAGCGTAGTCATTCACTTCCCCTTTGAAGATTCCTCTTAAGCTATCCTTGACAGCGGCCATGAAATCATCGTCACTCATGAGTTTACTATTTAATTTCCAAAGCTCCCAACAGAAATCTTTTTTTTTTGCCTTGGTGCTTGCAAGTGTAAACAAAACTAAACAGTGATCACTAAATGACACGGGTATCACACGGTATTCGCTGCACTGAGGAAGAATCTCTAAGGAAATATATGCTCTATCCAAACGGGCATGACTTGACCCTTGAAAATGAATATAAGGTACATTTCTAGTGTCCCCCAAACAGTCCCCAACATCTTCTAACCCACAGAAATTTACAATTTCATTTAAAACAACAGTACTCGCGTCACTAAACGGAAGTGCACTCGTTTTATCTCGTGCCGAAAGCACACAGTTAAAGTCGCCAACAAAGATGACTACACGCTCCGTCGCAAAGAAAGACCGAATATCCTCAAAAAACGTTTTTCGTTCTTCGGCTGTGCCATATCAGATGCCATATCACAGACTATTAGTCGACCCGATTCTGAGGTCGTAACCTTTTGCACTTCCGCTCCCAGGCTCGCGCGAACTAACAACAGACACCCTGCCGATGCTCCTACTGCATGACTGACGCACACGCTATAGTTAGCAGTAAAAGGCCACACCATGCGCTCAGTCTGGTCCTCCCTTTCGACCTTCGTTTCTTGCAAAGCGACTATGTCGAGGTCCTGCTCTACGACTAGACGATACAACTGCCTTTGCTTTCTTCTCTCAGCGAGCCCCCGTATATTTAAGGTCGCTATACGTACAGGCTTTTCGAGCGTGTTTATCGTGAAGTGGGACCAGGCACAGCGTACGGAGCTTACCCTTTTGGCGCGTCTTCATACACGGCAGTCCTCTCTCACAGTGGTGGCCTATTGGGACAGCTTCTCGCGGGAATGCGGTGACGATGACCGCTGCGGACTGTCGGCGCCTTTCCACCCCGCCGCCACCTTCCACTTCCGTTCGAGCTGTCGTAGCCGCCGTTCCTGAGATAACTCAGCACCGCCTTCATGGCGACGCTTCACGGCAGTCTTGTCAAGGTCCATTTCAGAGACGGTGGGCTCACTGTCCGTCGCGGCAACGTCCCTTGCATCGCCTTCCGGCACAGAAGACGTCGACGAGTCTTCAACAGCAGGACCAGAGGCTGCAGTCTCCTGCTGCTTCGCTCCCACGACGCTCGCCTTCTTCGGGCCGGTGTCTGGCCGGCCGCCCTTGTCAACCGGGGTGGGCTGCTCGGTCGAAGTCGCAGTGGGAGCCGCCGCTCTTTCCGCCTCCTCCTCGTCCATGAGGAGGTCATTCTGGTCATCACCCGCACCACGTACCGCTGCTCGTGCGTACGAGCGCACACAGTCCTGCTGCTCGTGCCCGTAGGCGCGGCACTCAGAACACCTTGGGGCCCGGCAGTCCCGCCGGATATGCCCAGTCTTGAGGCACCGGAGGCAAATCGGAGCTCGTCCAGGCACTACGACTAGGACCGTGCCGCTTCCGAAACGCAACTGGTGCGGAAGGCGCTCGAGGGTGACTCCCTCCCGGAGTACGATGCGTACAATCCTGGTGGTGGACTCGGCCCCCTCGAAGCCAGCCACCTTCCACCGGTCAAAGGAAACGTCCTTTACCTTGCCGTAATCCGCGAAGGCCTTTCGGATGTCCTCGTTTGAGACGTCGAACGACATTCAGTGAAGTTTCACTCGAACTTCCTGCCTCGTTGGGTCGACGACGAGGCATGTGCGGCCTTTGACTTCGAGCCGCCCCGCTTCGACCAACTTGAGCTTGGCCACGTCGGTATGAAGTTTGAGCAGCCAGACGTGGGACATTTGATATGCCCCAATGCCAGCCACTTCCCTGATGACACCCAGTTCTTCCAGCGGCCGCCGAAAATCCTCAATGCGGTACGGTCTTCCGGCAATGTCGCAGTGCTAAACAACTGCCTTCTTCATTGCATCACCTGATGGCAAGGGCGGCAAAGAAATACGATATTCCTTCGGAGCAAAAGAATCCGAGTCACCGCGGCCGGCGTCGACCGTTATCGCAGCTCCGTGGGAGCCAGCCATCCTGCGTCCGCTCCAATCGGCTGCCGGAAACAGAATCATTAGGCTACGGCCGCGCTGCCTACTTGGTGCGCGGCAATATCGCCTTACGAGTAGGATTGTAGCCTCCCGCCTACATCTCCTGCATTGTTTTTTTCTGAAATCGAAATTTCTGTTCACCATCCCTTTAATTCATCCCTTAGCCAACACCATCCAATCAGAAGGCAACTGGCCAGCCTGTCGCGCATGCGCACATGAGTCGAACCTCAATACAATGCTCGTCGAATTTTCCACTCAAAGTTCGAAAAAGTCGAACCTGGTCGAACTCGAACCTCGGCCGCTTTGCGACACCTCTACTTGTACTAGATATAGTAGCAAATGGAAAAGCCGCAGACCCCAATCCAATCCAAGCCGAAAGTATCCGAAAGTTTCCGGAAGTCTGCATCTGGCGGCCATGCTGCCATTCGGTTATTGACTAGTCTGGTTGAGCGTCATGTTGTCATAGTGTTTCGGGAACTGGCCTCTTCAATGACGATGTCGGCGGCGAAAATGTGCTCGTTTAATCCTGACTGGACTAACCCGAATATTTCGGACTATGCAAGCTTGATTAAGCCCGTGCAAAAATGATCATCACAATGCTCAATGCCTTGTGTTGTAGTGGTCTTATATATTTAACCACCTCTACATTGGTCAGGGAATTTGAGATTTAATTGTCAGGGAAATCCAGGAAAATTCAGGGAATTTCAGAATAATAATTTGCTAGACACCCTGAAATCTCCTATTTCCAGATAATTAAAAAAGTAAAAGAAATGTTTATAGGTTTACAACCTACACCGAATAAACTCTTGTCCATATAAAGAAGTAATGCAGTAGAGGGTTAAATATGTTTGACCAAATGAGCAGACATGCAACTAGTTTTAACTATTTTTGGAGTACTACGGTAAAGTTTAAATATTAAAAATATGCATAGTTCCTGTTATAAACTCACTGCCTTTACGAAAATCATTAGGTCAGTCAATAAATTTAACAAGACTCGGTGCTTGTCTGAACCTTAGTGTTTTGCAGACGACACTTGAGCCTGTCACACCCATGTACCAATCCCGCCTGTCGTTGCGTTGAGATTCACGTGACATCTCGTACCACGTGATAGCCATGTTCTTGGCGGCCCGAGGCCGATGTTACCGGACAGAGCTGAAGTTTTAGGTTTCGATTTCTGCTTCTGTTAAAATTAGATTAAATATATATATCCCAAGAGTAACTACGCTGAATTCCGTATCAAATTTCGCATTAGCTCAATTTCGTATTAAAAACCCTAGTAAAAGGCGCTATGTCATTTGCTTTGCAAAAAATGGGATATATATTTTAATATAATTTTAACACGAGCGCAAATCGAAACCGAAACTTCGGCTCCGTCCGCCAACATTAGCCTCGGGCCACCAAGAAGATGGCCATCCCGTTGTAAGAGATGTCACGTAATCCCGTACGCAACGACGGGAAGGATTGGGGCGGGCATGTGCCAGGCGAAAGTTACGTCTGAACCACACTCGTGACCACGTTTTGGTGTCTACGGCATTCGACGCCGTATGCACAACGGCGGCATAATTCTGCACACACAGTGTTTGTAGTGTCGATGAAACTCCGAGATACAATAATCACGAACAGTGAGGCGACGATGGCGGTTGTGACGCGCGAGACGGTGGTAACAGCGAGACCACAGCGGGACCACCCCCCAAGAAGCGCACTGCGCATGCGCCTTACGCCTATGACGTGGGCACCGCTAAGCGCCGCGAGAAAACTATGCTGACGTCAGCAGTTCTTGCCCGGAGAAGTAAAAACGAGCACAAGGGGGGGATGGTGCCGACGTTTGGCTTAATGGTGGCTTCGTCCACGCCGTGGCCTTGACTGCACTGTTGGTTGCGCCTTAAATCGCCCGCTCGAGTCAGCCAATTTCGGCAACTTGGCGAGTTGCAAAGTTTGCCTGACCGGTTAAGGGACATTTAGAGGGAACTACGTCGCAATATTTGATTTGTGGTCTTCCTAGGTGATACGGAAGAGGTCTGCATTGTTTTTTCAAAAATAAAAATGAAGCGGAGTTTTCCTTTAAAGCTTTTATGGGGGGCCATTCTTTAATTTGTTGGTCTACAGGCCAACAAATAATTTTAGGTTGGAAGGACCTCTGAAAGTGTCTTGTATTACGGTGCCTGGATGGATGTGTCTCCATCTGGTGTGCTTACCGCATCATTCTTTTTGGTGTGGCAACAGTCCACAGTCACTTCACAGTCAGAAGTTAGGGTGCCATGACGACAACGGCACTTGTACCCGCGTGTCTTATTCACCAGAACTTTGAAGACCAACTGCCAGGATCTCGACATCCAACAGCATGACACTTCCGTTTTTTTAACAGCCTTTGTTGCCACCGTGGGGCCACTCTTAATGCATGGGAAGAAGATGATGGTAATCACACCCCTGGGGAATACGTCCAGCCACTACACCTCTACTAAAACTTGCTTGAGCACCTGTTTAGGTATGATTATGTTTACACTTGCAGCGTTACCTTGGAGGTGGGGTGTCTCTACGCCAAGAAAAGTTCGACTGGGTCATGGACAAAGCGGAGTCGGACTCTGGCTGCTGTTTCATGTTGTTCCGGTGCCTGTACAAGGACGAGGACCTGGTCAACAGGAGTGTGACGGGCCAGCCCTCCAGGCGCAACCTACAGTATGACGCTGTGAAAAGAAAGCCGATCACACCAGCCAAAGTGGACGCAATCAAAGGTGCGTGCCTTGCTGCATGTCCCTTTCCGGCTCCAAACTATGCAGCAGTTGGCAGGTTTGGCATCGATCATTATATAGGTTTTATAGACCACTCGGGTGCTGACATGTTGAGGGTTTTACTATCTTGGATGTGTAAGTGCTACTATACCTTCTCTTGCCTCAGCATGAACTAAATGCAAAGGCTGCGTAAGCGCGAGAGGGTAGCCTTGACTGGAGCAGCCGCTGCACGAGCACTTGTAGAGCCGCCGACACGTGATTCAAAGCATTTAGCTCGCGCTTTTCAGCAGGCCCGGCCAACAATAGTCCAGGCTAAGGTGACACAAAATATAGCCTGCATTTGTTTTGTTTTTAGCGGTATTGGGGTAGTGGATTGCTTTACTATTTGAGTTGACTTATTGCTTTCATGTTATGATGAGACAAAAGATGACTGCAAGGAAAGGTGAAGAATGAGAGACAATGTTGCAATTGTGACATTGCAGCTTTCTCTTTCATGTAGATAGGATAGCATAACCTGCTTGGGGCTTCGTCCTAGCTTCCACTAGCAAGGGAGATCACGTGCCATTGTTGGGGCTTTTTGTTCCATCTGCAGAGGCTGCTCGGCTGGCCCCCTGCAGAGGCCGCAGCCTCTGCAGACACTAGCCGGCCGGGGGAGCGGTAGCTGTGCGCTGCTGCGGAGGCAGCACCGCTCTGTGGGGCTTTAGAATTATCCGGTGCGCTGCCCGTGTCGCAGCCATTTTAAGAGGCGTTCTGCAAAGGGAATTTCTTTGGCGTTTCTCCCGGTTACAAACAACGCCGGCTCCACTGCATGGGACTGGTAATGCTTTCGCATAAAAAAAAGAAACACCCTTCCAGTCTTTATATTCTTCATTTAAGAAGTTTTGTTTCAGTGATTAAAACGCTAATAAAATATTCAGATATTATTTTCAGACATCATCTATGAGCGTATACTGTAAACGACTTATTTTTCGCGGGCTCAGTATTTCGTGACTTAGGTCAAAGCTGGTTTTGGAATAACTCGCGGGCTCTAATTTTCGCGACGCGGTGGGATCTCAATATAGATTCCAAGGCGCTTATATTTTGCCGAAATTGTTCGCGGGACCTATTTTTCGCAAATTGCAGGTGATTCGCGAAAATTAGGTCTTCGCGAAAATTAAGTCGTTTATAGTATATACCTCAGTTTTTGCAGCAGGGAAAAGAAATTACCCTTTTTTGGATTTTCACAATCTCAGCTCATTTTGAACTCTTTCAGCTCTGTCTATTGGCTGACATATTTACTTTGTTGAAGCCGCCAAGAGAGCTATTCAGGGCAAGAAGGTAGCACTGTGTGCCCAATAATGAAAGAGAACATTATGCAGTGTGCTGAAAGGAATACTGAACCGAAATCTGAATTTCAGCTCAGAAGATAGTGGGAGCGCTCTATTAGAAGCTACAAACCCTAATACACCACTTTTATAACAATATAGATTGATATGTCGAACCGATGGCTGTATTTTTGGCAACAGAAAAACGCAATTAAGCGAAGCTGAGATCACGTTACCGGGTTCCTCGGCCTTGTCCTTCGTCCGGGGCCCTTCAATTACTAGATGTGGGCTGTCTGTGTTTCTGAATAAATTACAAATCATATTAAAAATAGGGGCGGGTTATCTTTCGGGGATGGGGCATCTCTTGGGATATTACGGTAGCTAGGCAGTTTTCGCAGGAGGAGTACTGATGGCAGTAGTAGTTAGGGCAATCACAGCCATTCAGTTAACTTAAATACCGTAATTTGGGTCACTGGTGTTGTTCCCGTCCCGTTTACTTTCCTTGTAATTAACCACTGGTAGTGGTGATCAAGAGTTGTAAGTGCCCTGTGGTACCTAAAAGATAGAAAAAATGACAGCACATCTGCAGGGTGGAGACTTAAGATTTGAATGTAAACATTAGACAGCAGTATGTCTGGTTGGGGGAAATAATTATTAAAACGACGACCAACCAATGCCTAAAACAAGAACCCAACGTTTTTGTTTGTTTTTTTAAATTTAAGATGAAGCATCAATTTTAAAATCCACAATAACATTATTTATATATACCGTAAAGTTCCGAAAGAACGCACACCCAAAATGAAGAGATAAATCGTGAAAAACATGGGGTGGGCTATATTTGGGGACGCCACAGTAAAACATTATCAAAAACCGGCTACAAACTACGTGACGCGGAAACTGATACCGCAGATCGCGGACACCGCAAATTCGCATTTCACGATGCGATAAACACGCGGGAAGCCGCTATAAACTTGCCTGTCACAGGAATCAATATTGCACGCGCAGATCGCGGTCAAAAAGGCAGGAATCCGCTATAAACTCGCTTGTCTGACGTGCCGGTACAGCAAATTGCGCAGTTAATGTGATTCCCGTCGGACATATTGCGTGACGTCTGACAGAAATCGGTGGGTGGGCGGTGCTTCGGAATTTTTATGTTGCAGATATTCAGACCTCTTAGGGGCGGGCGTTCTTTCGGAACTTTACGGCTTGTGCGGATGGCACAAGCTATCACATTAAGAGAAGCACTTGACATCGGGCAGTGCCACACGCCAGACGCACGAACCGGTCGCACGAGCGTCTGGCGCTCGTGCCATCGCGTGACTGTGAGCTTTGTTTTTGCAATGCACCGTGCAGCGACGATCAACTACCCCTGACCTCACCCTGGTTGGGCGCCGATTATTCAGTGTTAAGTAGGAATCTTGCCGCTCGACTGAAAAGGATTATGACTGTCTGGGATGGGCCGCAAATCCGCACGGCTGGAAGTAATTTAATTACACCGGTTGGCAGATGCACAGCAAGAATCCAGATACGAGGAATTACGTTCATCGCCAGTTTTGGCGTTCTCAAGGAGTGTTCAAGAAAAGTTATACTCGGAATAGACTTTGTCGGAGAGAACGGCGCAATCATAGACCTACGTAGGCAAATGACCACATTCTCCACTGCACGATACGTTGAAAAGGAGAAATCAACACTACGGTGTTCTCCACTCCGAGTAAGGGATGACCACGTTTGTCTCCCGCCATGTAGCAGCATCCTCGTGACTGTAAGAACCGACGAGACTGCCTCTTCAGGAATCGCCGAGGCGAACTAATTTCTTCTGCTGAAACGGGGAATCTGCATAGCCAGGGGTCTCGTTCATCTCCACGACGGACAAACTGAGTTATTACTTACGAACTTTCGCTCCGAACACCAGCATGTTTCCCGTGAAACTACCATCGCCTACCTTGAGGACGTCGCTGATGTCAGTGGGCCCTTCTCACTAGAAGCTTCACTGCCAGGCAAGATAACGACAACCTCCACAAAAACATTTGATGTTAATCGTGAACTCCGAGAAAAAGAACAGGAACATCTGCTGCATCTTTTGCATAAGTATAATGACTGTTTTTCATCGTCATCGAAGGTGCGCCGGACGACTGTCACCAAACATCGGATCATCACGGATGAAGCTACAACGCTGAAACGACAGCCACCGTACAGGGCCTCGCATAAGGAACGAGAAAAGATACGGCAACAGGTCGAAGAAGTGCTTCATGACGACGTTATACAGCCATCAAAAAGTCCCTGGGAATCACCTGTTGTGCTTGTGAGAAAAAAAGATGGTACACTACGATTTTGCATAGACTACCGTAAGCTAAACACGATCACCAAGAAGGATGTATACCCGCTGCCCCGCATATATGATACTCTGGACAGGGGGCATGGTGCAAAGTACTTCTCATCGATGGATCTTAAAACAGGTTATTGGCAGATCGAAGTTGATGAAAGAGACCGAGAGAAGACCGCTTTCATTACGCCCGATGGTCTTTATGAGTTTAAGGTCCTTCCGTTTAGACTATGTTCGGCGCCGGCCACATTCCAGCGGATGCTGGACAGTGTTCTTGCCAACCTCAAGTGACAAACATGCCTTGTGTACCTGGACGATGGCGTAGTGTTTTCCACCAGCTTTGAAGAACACCTGAATCGACCAGAAGCTGTTCTGCAAGCCATAAGGACCGCTGGCCTGACACTTAAACCGGAAAAGTGCCACTTCGTATTCAAAGAGCTCAAATTCCTCGGCCACGTAGTGAGCGCAGAAGGCGTTCTGCCCGACCCCGAGAAAACGTCTGCCGTCGCATTGTTCCCTCCTCCCACCGACAAGAAGACCGTACGACAGGTTCTGGGACAGTGCCCCTATTATAGACGCTTTGTGGAGCAATTTTCCGAAATCGCCGAACCGCTCACTCGACTCACGCGTGACGATGTCCAGTTTACGTGGACGGAAGAGCAGCAGTGTGCTTTAAAAGAGCTTCAAGGTCGCCTGCAGTCGGCACCAGTTCTCGCACACTTCGACGAGCTCGCAGGGACCGAGATCCACACAGATGCTAGCAACGTTGGCTTTGGAGCCGTTTTAGTCCAGTGGCAAGATCGAGTCAAACGGGTAATTACGTATGCCAGCCGCTCACTGTCCAAAACAGAAAAAAACTATTCGACCACGGAAAAAGAGTGTCTCGCAATCATTTGGGCCACTATCAAGTTTCGCCCATACCTTAATGGGAGGCCTTTCAAAGTAGTCATCGACAACCAATCTCTATGCTGGTTGGCCACCCTCAAAGACCCTTCCGGGCGTCTCGCGCGCTAGAGCCTGAGACTTCAGGAATTCGAAATCACCGTCGTGCACAAGTCGGGGCGAAAACACAACGACGCGGACTGTCTCTCTCGTGCTCCTGTTGACCCTGCTCCGCAAACCGATGAAATGGACGACGCCTTTCTTGGAGCTATTGACACTGCGATCATGGCCCAACAGCAACGAACAAACCCCGAGCTTCGTCCTTTTATTGAGCACCTGGAAGGCCGTGATACACCTGTACCAACCGCATTTTCTCGAAGCCAAGGTTATTTCTGCTTAAAAGCAAGGTGTTCTGTACAAGAAAAATTTCCAGCCAATCGCGTCCTCATGCGTTCTTGTCATTCCGACCGCCCTTCGCGACGAAATTCTTTACG